CCGGCCCCAGCGCAGGGCTGATACCTGGCTGCAAGGGTCCCCACCGGCTGGGAACAAGGACCCCTCGCAGGTGCCAGCTCCCGCTCTCCGGAGGCTGGCGGGTGCGGGGGCCGGCTAATCCCTCATCTGCTCGCAGCTCAATGGGAGCCAGCAGTTCTCTGCCTTGAAAACGTATCAGAAAGCCAAGGAACCCGCGCACAAGCCCATTTGAGAGGGGGGAAAAAAAAAATCCAAGCCCAAACCCGTCTGTTTTTTCTTTTTCTGAAGCCATTTCCAGCTTCCCTGTGTTTCCAGCTTTTCACTGCTTTCCGTTTGTGGCAGTGCCTGCTCCTCTAACTTTGCCCAGTGCAGTAACAGCCCTGACGCTCGTGTCAGCTTTGCAATTAGCTGCCGCCGTGCCAAACGCGCTCCCGGCTGACGTGAGGCTTGCCGTCGCTTGGGCAGCACGCTGGCAGCCGGCAAGCCCCGGCAGCCGGAGCACGCACAGCACTGGGGTCCTGCTCCTCCTCCAGAGACCCACCACCCTGCACCCCCACCAGAGGGGGCTGGAGGCACCCAAAGGTGCCCAAGAGCCCTCCCCAGCACCCCACCGCTGGGCGTCGGGGTGGGGCGGGTGGACAGGCGTGAGCCAGCATCCAGGATAAACAAGAAAAAACAGACAGCCTTGGCTTTACGTCCTCAGAAAATATGGCTGGGAGGGGCCCCAGGGCCGTCCAGACAATCCTTGAAGAAACCCCCCCCCGCCAATGTCAACCTTATCTCTGCTGCACAGGCAGGAGCAGGGACCGTCGAGTCCTGGAGCAGCGGCGTAGCCAGGAAAGGAGCCGGGACATCTCTGATCCCGATTCCCTTTCCACCTCCTCCCTCCGGCTCCCAGGGCCGAGGAGGGGCCCCAGCGCTGCCAAAACCCCAAGCCCTGCAGCAGCAATCGCATCCCTCCCTGCAGCCCCGCTCCGGCCAGGGACACTGCCCCACTTTCAGACTTCAAAAAAAACCCAACCCACCACCAGCAGGATGTTTTCTTCCCTTTTTTCTCTTTGAATCAGGGTCCCTGTGTTTGACTCCCCCACTCCAAGAGTATGACCAATTAAGATATCAGTTTAGATAAATTGGGGGATTGGAGCAGATTTGTACTGCCATTGCATCAATTGGGCAAATATAGCTTGCTAGAGCACAGAGCCGCTAACAAGATTGTGTAATTCAGCTGTCCAAGGGAATGAATTTCTGATTTAAAAAAAGCAAAGCTGAAACCTCCCCAACGCCGGGAACGGTGGTGACACCGAGACCCAGGAAAGCGCTGGTCCCCGAGCCAGAATCACCGCTTGATGCCAGCGGATCGGGCAGGTCAGAGCCCCTCGCAGCCATCGCTCCTCCCTGGGGGTTT